AATCTGCTCCTTAGAACACTAATTAGAAAAAAATGACGCTAATTTCCTTTTCTTATTAAATCATCCATGATCATCTAGGGCTGCCCTCAATATTGGCCTGAAGAAGGGATGCTGCGATATGGTCCTATCCAAGTGGAATGTATGTCTTGTTCAATGGATTGTGATGTGATAAACCGGATTTTCAGAATATGCAATCTAACAAGAGTAAGTCATTGTTTCACTATTCTGAGTGAGCTGATACAGAACACACATTAAATTCATCAATATGATGAGGTATAATTATATACAGATAACAGAGAGAATACTGATAATAAGTGCCACATAGTCAATTTGAAAGTAAGTACTACTCTTTTCTCAGATGCATAGTAAATGATTGAAGAGACCATACATGGCCTGAATCTGACACACCTTGGTCATCAAACTGACATCATTACTCCTCAGTAATTTTGAGAGGTCCCAAACTGCAGCCTTCCCAATATAATACATCTCCTGATATTCTTACTGCTGGTACCAAGGGTGTTAATTGTGGATCCAAGTAAGATGAAGTTGTTGACAGTTTCAATCTCTTCTCCATCCACTATGATGTTGCCTACCCATTGGTAAGAATCTTTGTTTTCTTGACATTGAGAAGCAATGTTAGTTTGAGGGCTAAGGTGCATCTGATTAAGGCCATGGTCTTGCTAATCACTTGCTGTGCATCTGAGAGCTGGACAATGCATAGGAATGGCAAAAGAAGAATTGATGCCTTTGAGTTGTGGTGTTGGAGAAGAACACTGAACATCTAATGGACGGCCAAAAGAACAAATAAATGTCTTTGGAGAGGGTGCAGCCAGAGTGCTCTTTGGTGGCAAGAATGATGAGTCTTTGCCTCACATACTTCATGCATGTTACTAGCAGTAGCAGTTCCTTGGAAAGAGATTTGATGCTTGGAAGGCTGAAGGGTCAGTGAGGGAAAGGAAGACCCTCAACCAGGTGAATCGACTTGGTGACTGCTACAGTGGGCTCTAGTATGTCAGGAAGTGTGAAGATTGCACACGATAGGACAGGGCTCACATCTACTGTTCATAAGGTCACTGAGTCAGACTTGACTTGATAGCAACTAACAACAACTAGAATAGATTGTGCATTCATTCGTATAGCAGGAATTGTAGGAGTTGGGTTTTCTTAGGAGTTATTAGTCTAATGTGAGTTACTAATGTATTCCTTCTTGAAATCTAGCCTCAGATGCACTGACTAAATTTTGATCACCTATGTCTGATCAGAATATATTTAAATATCTATCTCAAGAATGACTGATTTTAGCATTAGCACCCACCCCAGAAAGTTTGAAAAATTACATAAAAGCAACAAGAACATCAGTAACAGAAACTGTACATCAGGATGCAGAGATATGTTAGATTAGCTACACCTTGTAAAAGATACCATGTTGTTATTCAAAAGCATATATATTTATCTCCCAGGCAGTCAAGAGGACATAATTTACAGCTGTCATTGATTATCTCACTATCTGTAATTTCATCCCTCTAAATGTTCTAATAGAGAGCTCTGGTGGCCTTGTGGTAAGAAAGTACAATGCAATCCCAAAGGCATGTGGTAGGTTACATTTCGAATCCACCAGCTGCTCCATGGGAAAAAGATGGGCAATATCCTCCTGTGTGATTAAAATGCTTCTGACCCTCTGGAGGTTCAGCGATGGGTCAGTTCTAAGTCAAGGACACACAGCAACAGCAACAAATGTCCTAATAGGGAGTTCTAATGGCTTAGAGGTGAAGAATTTTACTGCTAAACCAAAGGCACACAGTTCGAATTCACCAGCTGCTCCCTGGAAGAAAGATTGGCAGTCTCTTTCCATGCAATTGATTGCCTTTGAAAACCTGCTGGAGGGTCAGCTGTGAGTCAGCTCCAACGAGATGGTAAATAACAACAAAATGTCCTAATCTCTAGCTTTGCCCAGCCCTGAAGGTGGAGTCAGTGCTGTTACTGCTGTGCTTTTTCTTCTTTTTTTTTTTTTATTAATTTTTTTGTGCGTGTACCATAAAATCAGATCTGACTGATACAGGAGGAGATTGTCCCTCCTTCTCCAGTAGAGCATCTGCTGGATTCAAACCGCATACCTTTGGGATTACAGTGCAGCTTCTTTCCACTAGGCCACCCAGAGCTCCCCAAACTGCTGTGCTTTATCAGGAGGAAAGTAACAACTATGCCATCCAGGAGTGCCAACTCCCCCCCCCTTTTGTAAGGTACTAATAACAGCTGCTGTTAGGGATCTCTCCAGGGTACTGAAGAGCAATGGTGTCACTCTGGAGACTAAAGTGTGTCTGATACAGGCGATGGTCTTTGCAATCACTTGTTATGCATTAGAGAGTTGGACAATGACTAGGAAAGATAGAAGGAGAATTGATGCCTTTGAGCTGTGGTGCTGGAGAAGAGTATTGAATGTACCATGGACTGCCAAGAAAACATTCATCCTGGAGAGGGTTACACCAGGCTGCTCCTTGGAGGCAAGGATTCTGGGGCTTTGTCTGACATACTTTCGACATGTCATAAGGAGGGACTGGTCCTTGGAGAGGGACATCATGTTTGGGAGGGTGGAGGGACAGCGCAAGAAGGGAAGACCCTCTATGAGGTGGATTGATTCTGTGACTGGGGTAATTGGGGTGGGTGTGTCAGAGACAATGAGATTGCCACAGGATAGAACAGGGTTTAGCGCTGCTGTACATAGGGTCACTATGAGTTGCAAGCGACTCAACAGCACATAACAACAACAATAACAGCTGATTAGATTTTATCATCAAATAACAAGTGCCTCCTTTTTAAAAAAGATTGTTCTGGGGGTTTCTTTGTTGTTTTGTTTCTTTAGTTAATTTTACAGCACCAGCTTTATGCTTGTATATTAGGTGTGTCATTAAGATTGTCATCTCCCAATGTTTTTCATCGAGATAACTTTCTGTTGGTATAGTTTATAACTCTCTAAGTATATACCCATGAGCAGAGGATAAAATTACATCCAGTACTATTGCTCATTTCAGTGCAGGGGAAAAAAGAATAACTTCAATCATACCATAATATCCATGCATATCTTAGATGTTAATTTAAATGGAATCGCATTATGTTTGCACATCTGTTACATTATAGTTCTAGTAATATTTTAGAAGAAAAACAGTGGCTGCTGAACTAAGAAAGTAAAACTATTGGACGTTGTGAAAGTAAAAGAATTCTAAGAACTAAATACGTTACATAATTTTATAAACCTTTTATTTCTTTTATTTTCTCTATATTTAATATACCATTTCCTATTAGTATTTGATTTGTTTTATCATCAAAGACAAGCATCAGCTAATTATATGGTAATTTATTCATTATTCATAAATGTGATAAATTTTATAGAGAAAAAGTGTAGAATGCAGATCTTTAAGTGGGCTATCTTATATAGAATAGGTGATTTAAAAGTGTTCTTTGAATAAGCAAAATTTCTGCTAAAATCTGAAGATTTTAAAGAAGTTATCAAGGAATATAGTAAATGATTATCTATGTTCACTCTTGTTGTTATGTGCTGTCAAGTCACTTGCTCATAGCGATCCTATGTACTATAACCTTGAAACCTGCTGAAGATAGAAAATTTCCTCAGATGCACATATGTCAGTGCTAAACCAGGAAAATTCTGGGCAAATTGAGATAAGTTGTCCACTCATATTGAGAGTAAAAAAGTAAAAATAAAGAAAGACAAAGGGAACAGTATCTCTGAGGTAGAAATGAACATGGCATAACCAATAGATTTAAAAGGAGAAATATCTTGGAGCATTTAGACAAAACCACAATAAGGAAATAGAGTATCTTTAAAATATCAAAAAACTACTAGACTATATATATATATATTATATACAGAACAATATCATTGATTTTACATGCAAGCAAGATTCTACTGAAGATTATCCAAAAACGACTGGAACA